AGAAATGACAAACAACAAGTGCTACTCTACACTGCTCAAAACTCGCGTTTGAATCGTCAGTGGCAAATCCTTTAAATATAAAAATCTTACTTACAGTCTGTGAGTCAGAACAGCCGGCATTGTAGTCTACTCTTCCAGGATCAGGAAACAGTCCTCCATAAAATGTGCTGCACACATCTGGATATTTGGGTTAAACTATTCTGGAACAGTGTTGTAAATACCACTGATTTCTGATATCGTCCTCTTTTGGAAGGTCAAACAAAGTAGTTTCGCTTTCACAACAAACTCACAGCGCCTTCACGACATGGTGGCAACAACAATACTACAGCGAGAATAAAAGTTACGCCTTCTTTCTTTGCGTGAACATTTGGGCGGTGTTATGCAAATCTTCCCACATCGTGACGTAGACATGTGGGGGCGTGTTAGAACGAGCCGTTTTAGGTAGGTGTGGTTGACTCTTAACTTTTATAAAGAATATATCTTTGGATTTGAGACTTTAGTCTTTGCAACTTTACAACTTTATGCACCAAGAGCTTGTAATACTCCAAAGAGAAAGGAAAAATTTAAATTGCATCATATGACTCCTTTAAATGAGTATTTTGATCAGGCTCCTATGAAAATAACATTGGACATTTAAAAATAAGGCATTTAATAATTGACTAATAACCTTTTCTTTGCCATTAAAGTGAAATTACTGAACCTAAATATAGGAGTCTGATAAAAAATGCTCAATTAAAAGAAAAAAATCACAGAAAAATCTTAGAGGTTTTTGCATCTGAAGAAGTCTTCATATACATAAAAACCTGTTTTGACATAAAAAGTATTTGGAAACTTTCTGGCTGTCAAACATTAGAACGATCATGTGACACTGGAGTAATGATGCTGAAAATTCAGCTTTGCATCACAGGAATAAATGACATTTTCTCATTTTATCAGGTCCCTCTGCTAGGACGCATGTGTGAGTTGATATTATACATACACACATAAAAAAAAAAAAATCACCAAAACACAAGTTGGTTAAAAGTTAGTTTTGAGACAAGATGTTTATAAGTTAGCAAGAAAAGCTCCAGCATCATTTGTTTGTAGATGCTGTTTGGCTTGATCTTTTGTTATCTAATGCTCTGTCGTTTATTGATTATTTATACAAATTAGACTTTTGTTTTGTGTACAAATATTTTTGGGGAATACTGTAAATATATATAGATGTATACACGCACTACCGTTCAAACATTTGGGGATCAGTAAGATTTATTTTAAAGAAATTAATACTTTTATTTAGCAAGGATGCACTAAATTGATCAAAAGTGACAGTAAAGCCATTTATAATGTTACAAAAGGTTTATATTTCAAATAAATGCTGTTCTTTTGAACTTTCTATTCATCAAAGCATTCTGAAAAAAATTTATCAGTTTCCACAAAAACAGGAAGCAGCACAACTGTTTTCAACATTGATAAATGTTAAATCAGCATATTAGAATGATTTCTAAAGGATCATGTGACACTGAAGACTGGAGTATTGATGATGACAATTCAGCTTTAAATCACAGAAATAAATTACATTTTTAAATAAATTACAATAGATTTTAGATAGCAATAGATATTTTAGATTAGAATTTCAAATAATAATAAAAAAAAATCTGTAATGAGCATAAGAGACTTTTTTCAAAAACATTTAAAAAATTTTTTTTTACCAACCCCAAATGTTTGAATGGTATTGTTTGCATATTAACAGACCTGGAACTCTTCAGAAGGATGGTTTCTAACCCCTGCTCTAGTGTATAACGTCTTGACATGTTCAGATTTCAGGGCAAGCCCAACTAAATTTGATCAAAAGTGACAGTAAAGCCATTTATAATGTTACAAAAGGTTTATATTTCAAATAAATGCTGTTCTTTTGAACTTTCTATTCATCAAAGCATTCTGAAAAAAATGTATCAGTTTCCACAAAAACAGGAAGCAGCACAACTGTTTTCAACATTGATAACAAATGTTAAATCAGCATATTAGAATGATTTCTAAAGGATCATGTGACACTGAAGACTGGAGTATTGATGATGACAATTCAGCTTTAAATCACAGAAATAAATTACATTTTTAAATAAATTACAATAGATTTTAGATAGCAATAGATATTTTAGATTAGAATTTCAAATAATAATAAAAAAAAATCTGTAATGAGCATAAGAGACTTTTTTCAAAAACATTTAAAAAAAAATTTTTTACCAACCCCAAATGTTTGAATGGTATTGTTTGCATATTAACAGACCTGGAACTCTTCAGAAGGATGGTTTCTAACCCCTGCTCTAGTGTATAACGTCTTGACATGTTCAGATTTCAGGGCAAGCCCAACTAAATTGAACACAAACTTCTGTGAAACTTGTCAGAAGTGGGCTTTATGGACTAACACGTCATGCCACACACTCTCAAAGCCTTACACAACTTGTATGGATTCTTTGTATGAAAAATATCAAATGTAATAATTGTGATTTGAATGAAATTCCATAAAATGATGACTCTCTCAGTATGCCTAATGAAAGCAATGCATTTCTTCTCATTTTAGAGTGTTCAAAGATTAGATATTTGTGTGTCAGGGATCTGGAAGGAGGACCCAATCGCAGAGTGAGTGACAAGGGTTTATTACAAAACAGAGATACAAGACGGTAGCGAGTTGTGCAGGTGATTCAATGGCAGGAACACAGCTAGGGAACACCACTGGGACAGCCTTGGACATCAACTGGCAGAATAGCAGCAGAGGAAGCGGCAAGACGAGGCAGATGGAGAAGACTAAGCAAGGCACCACTCAGATACTTGTTGACCGCAAACTCTGAAGTGGACCAAGTACCAGGAAGGGAGAACCAGTGGGCAGGAACAGGTCAGGAACTCTAACACCACAAAGAGACAAGACAGGACAAGGCTCCACAGGAACACAAATTACTCCAATGCAGGCAGGGGGATAAATAAAACCAAAGAACTGATTAAAAGTAAAAGAAATTACCAATTTAACCAACACAACTAACTTAAAGAATATCAAACAAAAGATCAGGACTAGGAGAACTGAATAAATACTAAAAAGAAAGGCAAAAAACAAACAAAAATGCAAAAACAAGGAGCAAGACAAGAACATGGAACTACAAAGAACTAGACCAGACAAGGGCACAAGACCAACCAGAGAGATGGGAACACATACTCAGCCACAAACAAAGACAGCGAGGGTGAGAATGACCACAAACCAGCAAAAACAAGAGGGCAAGGGGAACTATAAATAGGGAGGAAGGCACACGAGGAACATGTGAGAGCAATTAGACCAACAAGGACTAGACAAGGGCTAACAACAGGGTGTGGTAAAGAGGAAACAAGAAGGAGGGGCTAGAAAAGCACATGGCTGAGAGAAATATTAACAAAGCCATGTGCTGACACACAAGACAAAATAGACACAGGAAACAAACACAAGACAAATGGAGTGTCAGGGCAGAACCCTGACATTTGTGTAGATGCATATATCCAGTGGGTTAACTTATTGGAAAGGGAGCATAATTATTATTAAATGTAACTAAAATGCATCAGTACATTCCTCCATGATATGGTCAATGGAATGTAAAGGCATTACAATTGTTCAGAAGAGAGTAGCAGCCCAACACTTGCTAATTTTGTTAGATTTTGTTCCCTGATATCAGCCTGATATCTGTTGTAATTATTCTGGCCGCTGGTGGTTTAACTGCTTGTGAGGTGCAGATAGCAGAGCATGTGGATGTGTAATTGGGAACGATTGCAGGGATGAGCAGAAGGAGAAGGCCACGAGGTTCATACGGCAAAGCAGCTGAAACCCTGCAGGAAACAGCACTGCCATTACATCACAAGACTCACACACTGGGTAATTGCTCATTAAAAAGCAGAAAAATGGTTGTATTCTGCAAAAAAATTGCTATTGCTTCTTTTTTACCATGCTCTGCCGTGTTCAGTCTGATGAGCTTAACTAATCCTCTTTACTCAGGTTTAAGAACGGAGTAAATTATTCTCTCATATCGCTGTCCACTTTCTTTGAAGATGTTCTCGCAAATTTCAGTAGCTAGTTCATTTTAAAGTTGCAACAAAATCAGGAGAAAACATCTTGTTGTTCATTATAAACATATGGTGCTTATGTTGTGTTCTTGGGAACTGCAGAGTTTAAATTTATACTGTCTTATTATACAATATGCAGTGCTGAAAGTGTTGGAGAAGACGGATAGATCCATAAACAGTCACAATTTAATTCCAGCAGCTGTAGGTCAAACCGTTTCAGGATACAAATTCAGCAGGCGAGTAATAAATCATCTTGATTTATGTAAAATAAAGTGCATTTTCAAACAAATCAACTGTTTGCTGTTCAACAACTACATAGATGAAAGAAAATGGTCATATTTTATTGTAGTGACAAAGCAAATCCATCAGTGCAGAGTCTGTGTTGTAATATTGCAGACATTTTTATTACTGTATTTTAAATCTAAAAACATTGTAGGAAAATGACAGCATGTTTTGAAGTAAATTGAATATTTATTAGAAATAAGTGATGTCATTTTTTTTACAAACTTGATTAATATACAATTATATAAAAATACTTTGAAATGTCAATATACCAAAACCCACAGTTCTAATGCTGCACTTGAACGCACCATAAGGCCTTTAAAGATTCAATGAAAATTTCAGAATCAAAGTCTGTTACGCTTCTATTTTAATTGACTGCACACTAGATATAAAGGTCCAACATAAGCCTTTGCAGGTATAGTTTGAAATCTAATGATTAAACTGATATTAGTCAGATGCACATTATAGGACAGCTAACTAATTGAGAGTTCAGACTCCATGTTCATCTGCAAGATTCAAGAGGTGATTTACTAATCACAACTAAACAATGGTGATTTGAAGGCCACTTTACCGTGATATCTTTCCCAAGGAAACATGACATTTTTCTTCTAGCTGATATACCACAATATTATTATTATTATTGTACAAGATCATTTTTGACTTGCTTTGCTTATGTCTTTCAGGTATGTTAGTAACACAGTATTCTTTATGCAGTTACGTTGCAATGGCCAACAGACTCACTGTTATTGTGTAATATTACACAACTTCATTCATACAATTTCAGCAAAAAAATTATATTTCGAAATCGATTAACCATTCTAGCATCTCTCCACACAACTCATTTGCATGAATTTGTGCCACTTCCCTGTTCATCAGTAGATGCAGTTTCACAGTTTGGCTTTTCCAGGCGTCAGCTGAAGGTTTTGAAGTTTCATGGCCATTCCCATATTCCCAGTTATCTTTAGTTTTCCTTGGAAAAATGCCTTTAAATGAGAATACAAGATTAACAAATTGAGGCTTCGCACAGCAGGGTTATTATAGTTAACTAAAGCCACAAAAAAAAAATTTTTGGTACTTGAAATAAAATGTTAACTGAAATAATATTAAAAAATAATCTGATAGTCTGATTCACAAACAATTAACTCTTATGACCCGGTTTGGTAACACTATTTAATAGGTATACAGTTATACAGTCATTATAATTTTATAAATTATTATATATATTATATATTATTAATAACAGTTATCAATATAAAAAAAATTACATATATATATATTTTTTTTTTTACATTTGACTTCAGCTAGTGGACAGGGCAACATTTCTCATTTTCATTTAGTTTATCTTGTAAATTTGTATGAAAATAACTACAACTGAAATGAAAATTAAGAAGAAGAAAAAACATACAGATGATAATTAAAAAAACAATAATAATAAAAATGCCAAACAAACATTTCAAAACATATATAAACTATTTCAAAATATTAATAAAAACTATATTATTATCTCAGTGATACTAATATACACTGTATATGAGTACAAAATAAAAAGGTTATGATTATTTATTATTCCTCCCCCAACATTTCATGCGAGTTTCTCTCCATTTGACCATTTCCACATGTCATGAGCATGATGGATTTGAGTTCTAAACGGTTCAGCTTTTCTATTCGGGATTAATCTGAAAATTATTCCCTTTATGGAGGATTATTGTGAAAAGAGTGGCTAATTTTTAGATGAAGCTTCTGTCAAACCATCTGATGTCTGATGTGGCGTTCCTCAGATGGACAGACATGACGGAGGTTGCTTGAGTCAACACAGATGGGTGTAAATCACGAGGGAATGACATTTCAAAGGGCTTATGAAAACGATCTATTTTTCATGCTCTGACTCACATCAGCGGAGGAAACATTAGAGGCCATCAGCCTAATTTGGGATTACGTAAAAGATTTCCGCTTCACTCTGATCAGCATTCTGTGTCAGGAGGCTCTGCTTTAATGTGTGTGATTCAGTCAAAAGAAATGGTTGGACATGCGACTTAATACTGTATGCATGTCATGCTAGCTAAAGTCAGGTCAAGGGAATGTCAAAGTAACTCAATGTTAATCTTTTTTCATAGAGATTAGTTTAGTTTTATGAACTGCACATCACAAGTCATCCTTGACATTGGATTAATCTGGAAGGCCACCGTTGCAATGGCAGCCAGCAACATTGTGGTGCAAAGATGCAACTTTTGATTAAAAAAAAAGAACATTAGGTTATAAAGCTAGATATTTTTCTATGGCTGGGGGGAAAAAAAACAATGATTTTCCAGTTACTCATAATCATTTGAACAATATCTTGTATTATATTTCACTCTGTATTCCAGTGTTTCCTGCACAACTTGTCAGCAGTGGCTCCTGAATAGCCACACAGCCAAAGGAGTCATATTTTACTAAAGTTTGCAGGCCAAATTGATTAAAAAAAGAAAATACAGCTTTCTCGATTCGTCCATGTGGGCTGCACACAAAAACATACAGCATTTTCAGTGTAGTCTGATTCACAACTAATTGACTCTTACGAACTGGTTCTTTTTAATGAATCAAAAACATAAAAGTGTGATCAGTGTAGTCCAATTCACAACCAACTAACTCTTATGAACTGGTTCAGCAACACTTTACAATAGGTATACAGTAACAAAACACTTACAGTAATTAATAATTTCTTTATTACAAATAATTACAAAATAATGACTTTATTACAAATAATTTGGGAAACTATTAGTTTATGGTTCATTCATTGTAGTCTCTACATGGTAATACATTAATTGGCTATATTCTTCATTCATTGTGATTCATTTTAACTAATTATTATTGTTTAATTGTCTTAAATGTAAAGAGTTAGATGTTAACAATTTGTTAACCATACCTAACTGATGTGCAGTATTTTAAACCAGTAGTAAGCAGTTGTTAACGGTTATCTGGAGAAAACAGTTCTCACTGTAGATTAGGTCACAGAAAATACGAAATTGCTATTAATTGAGTGCTTTATACCTATGTTTATTAGACATTAATTGCATTAAAGGGTTACTCCGCCCCAAAATGAAAATTTTGTCATTAATCACTTACCTCCATGTCGTTCCAAACCCGTAAAAGCTTCGTTCGTCTTCGGAAGACAATTTAAGATATTTTGGATGAAAACCGGGAGGCTTGTGACTGTCCCATTGACTGCCAAGTAAATTACACTGTCAAGGCCCAGAAAAGTATGAAAGACATCGTCAGAATAGTCCATCTCCCGGTTTTCATCCAAAATATCTTAAATTGTGTTCCGAAGACGAACGAAGCTTTTAAGGGTTTGGAACGACATGGGGGTAAGTGATTAATGACAACATTTTCATTTTGGGGCGGAGTAACCCTTTAGCAGTAAATATTCCTGAAATGTTTACGAATACATTTGTATTAATTTACTTTATACATAAACACTTCTTTACTGTTGAATATAAATAACTTGAATGAATAACTGGGCGATACATCGAATATTAGTGATATTGTCGCAAAATATCTTTGCTGATGATATCAAATTAGGGAATATCGTGTATATTGCAAAAATGTTAGACAATTACCTTATAAAGACAGTAAGCCAATTTAAATTACAACCATACTTCATTTGTATGTCTAGATTATTAATATTTTTAACTAGTGTTAATTTTGCCGTAAACTATTTGTATGTACAGTACTTTGTAACAATAGCTGGTCTATAAAGATCAGGTTTAATTTTGTTAATTATTGTAAAAAATTTGGAAAATGATCCATGCTTCTATTTTTTTTTTTTATTATTAAACAAAAAAATCCTATTTTTAGCTATATAACTCCAGCCCTAATAATTTGTAGTATCATTCATGTTGCATTTCTGGAACTTGAATAATAATAATAATAAAAACGCAAATAGAGTCAAAACAGTCTGCAAATCTTGTGTTGGCTGTAATTTGTAAGATACTTGCATTGAGGAAATTAAATTAGCAGGCCAGACAAACGGTCAGTGTCTCTGTAGGCCATGGGACAAGGTTTAAGAGGGACTAATCCTGCACCGCTGGCTCTGTCCCAGGACACTCTCAAACCTTATCTAGCTCTCAAACTACACTGATACACACCAACTTATCAGAACATCTTCAATGTTCTTTTCTTCATAAAAAACAAAAGATGTCAACAGACCACGAAGAATAAACCATCATCAAACCGTACCGTTTGTGGATTCATCTGCCCCGTCATCAATTCAAGCAGATCTGAGTCGGACATAGAGATAGTACAGTCGGCCTTTTTACCTGTGCAAGAAATAAACAGTGAAACATGTTAAAATGTGTCTATAACAAAGTGCACTTGGAGACACTGACTTTAGAGTTAAATCTAACAAATGACTGTTTAATGTGTATGCAAAAGACTATTTACCAAAAAAAAAAAAATTTTTTTGTTTTCATTAGAATATCAAAAAGAATATTTAAAGAATGTAAGAGTCCCATATCATCACCAAGGCTGCATTTATTTGATCAGAAATACAGTAATAAATAGAAATATTTATTTCTATAAAATTTCTATTTGAATATATTTTAAAATGTAATTTATTCCTGTGATGCAAAGCTGAATTTTCAGCATCATTGCTCCAGTCTTCAGTGTAACATGATCCTTCAGAAATCATTCTAATATGCTGATTTGCTGCTCAAGAAACATTATTATCAATGTTTAAAAAGTTGTGCTGCTTAATATTTTTGTGAAAACTGATATTATTATTTAATGAATAAAATTTCAAAAGAACAGCATTTATTTGAAATGTAAATCTTCTGTAACATTATAAATGTCTTTACTGTCACTGGGTCAAAATGCTGACCCTAGTCTTTTGTTTTTATTAAAATTTAAATGTCATGCTTTCAAATTTGTTTTGTTTTTTCTCCTTTTTTTTAAAATTAATTTTCCAATAATATGCAACACACAATGAGGTGGACAAAAAATCGAAACACACCTGCATCATTGGTCACTGAACCTTTGCCATTTTTTACATCCACGACCCATAATGCTTCACTTCCACCTGGACCGTCCTTCACTTTGAAAGCGAAAACACCACCAATTTTCTTGATATATGCCTCTCCCTCCTGTTAAAAATAATGACATCATTTAATAAATATGTCGAAAATTGTTTTTCACCCACTTGAAAACTCCTGTGAATCTTATTCTTCGCGGAATTTCACTTACAGTATGCTATTGTATTATTTTTCATCTTACACTGATGCAAATTATTTCTACAATAATCATAGCACTGAAGATTTAACATCCACGCTGACTTCATTTAAAAAGTCATTTGAGATGTGATTTAGACATCCTCCAGGAATATTACTCTTTCCAAGAAAAGAGCCACGAGTCATTGTTCATTCTTGTCTATCCGTGCATCTTATTTTTGGGTGTAATAGGTTTGCAGAAGCCACGGAGGCATTAAGAAACCCCAAACCACTGAGTCTAATTTGCATGGTATGATTGGTGAGAGGCAGCCTCATTCCTGATGAATTACCTCCTGTAGCTTCTTCTCTATCTCCTTGAAGACAGTGTGAGCTTTGAAGCCTTTGAGGTCACTGGTTGCGCTGGTGGCCACTGCAGCGATCCGAGAGCTGAGAAGGTTTAGTTCAGACAGTTCAACACTGCTGGTGCATGTATGGTGTGTGTGTACCAAGTCCAAAGGTCTGGTTGTAATGCATGTAAAAGAACTACGGCATTTAACAACATGTAATGAAATTATTTTCTGAATATTCTAATGACTTATAACTTCACGAACTCTATGTACTCATACAGACTTACATGTAATTATGTAGGTCATATAGAAATATAATCTTTTGTACCTTGGATTTTGCACCCAGTGTTCAGTATGCTTAAACAAACATACAACAGAGCTGAACCATTCAAGCATAAAACAAAATAAGCAATAAAAGTGTACACTGCTGTTCAAAAGTTTGGCGTTGGTAAGATTAATACTTTAATTCAAATGAATACTTTTATTCAGCAAGGACACATTAAACTGATCAAAAGTGGCAAAACATTTCTGTTATTTAAACTTTCTATTCTGAAAACAAATGAATCACGGTTGAGTTTTCAACACTGACAATGAATTACTTGAGCACCTTATCATCATATCAGAAGACTGAGTAGAGTAACGGCTGCTGAAAATTCAGCTTCGCATCAAAGAAATAAATGACATTTTAAAATATATTAAAATAAAAAATAAAAAGAGTCATTTTTAATTGGTATTAATATTTTACAAAATTATTGTTTTGACTGTATTTTTAATTCAAATCAATGTAGCTTTGGTGAGCATAAGAAACTTCTTTCAGAAACATGAAAAAGTCTTACCAAGCCCAAACTTTTGAACAGATGGTTGGGATTTTGGATAATAATTGACCGAAATTTAAAAAAAAAAAAAACAACAACAATAAAAGAAGTTACTGGATATATTTAGGCCAGTCATCTCAATGCTCGTTAAGACAGGTCGACAACATATTTTAGCTTTAAACATACCTTGTTTCTTGAGGGAAGCCCATCCTGTAGAGAGTGATGACCACCGCTCCACCAAGACCGATGTTGTGCTGCAGGGCGACCTTTGCCCCGGGGACCTGCCGAGGCCCCGCCTCCCCCCTCAGCTGCCAGCACAGCTCTGCACACTGAGCCAGACCTGAGCCACAAAAACAGGCCAGAGTTCATCCTTCACTCGCTCTCAGTGTCACAGCCTGATGATTCTTCTAATAATTAGTGAACAAAACTGCCATAAAGAGGACCAGGTACTTTCTTGACGGTCTTTGTTAAATTTTCATTTATATAGCATTTTGCACAAAGTAGATGCATTGAAAACTCTCTGAAACTTTCTTGTCCTACCACATAGACATACAACATCTTGTATATGTAACTATAATGTAAATATTCTTTACATGCTATGGCATATAAAACTAGGGATTAGAAATGGTTTACGAAATGAACAAAAACGGAAAATAAATGATTTTGCAGAGCGTAATATAAACAACTTTTTCAATAGACCTTAGTCAGGGTCACAGGGTGGATGCAATATTGAATTTTACACTGATGAAAATAAGGCTTTGAGGGACAAAAGCAAAGTTTTTATAATGGCATAAATGCCCTAGATCACATGATTTTTAAAACGCAAAATTTCCAGATTTTATGTAGTTTTTGTCTACTAAAATGATTTTAGTAAGATTATTTTAGTAAGGCATTTTGTAATAAACATTACAATCCATTGACCACACTGTATTAATATCCCTCACAGCCTTATTCACAGACTGAAACTGTTATTTAACCATTTAATAAGTGTTATTATATCGCATATTTTTACATTAAAGGTAGGGTAGGTGATTTCGGAGGGGTTAGAAATAGCAAGCTAGCTTTGAAAGCATAAGATTCCACCCTCCCTGCAAAATCAGTCTCCAAAGCCACGCCTCCTCCAAAACACATTATCGCGCACAGGCAGACCAGAGACTATCAGCGACACGATGAGAGACGGCATCAACGCTGTCAGATCACCTCATGTCTCATTCACCGGTGAGAAAACATTACAGTACAAAGCGCATAATATTACAATAATAACCCCTTCCATTCTCGCTGGAACGAAAGAACGAACTGAACATTTACATACAATAAAGTAATACACAAAAAATGTATAAAGTACAAATTTTCACACAGATTAAAGTGCAAAAGAATTATAAAGACCAATAAGTAACACTTTACAATATGATCTCATTAGTTAACCTTATTTAATGCATTAACAATTAATAATGAATGAGCAATAGATACATTTGCTACTGAAGTTATTAATCTTTGTTTACAAAAATACAACTGTTAGTTCATTAAATAACACTTGCACCTTTTGATTTTAACAACGTGTTATTAAATATTGAAATTACCTAAGATCAATGAATGTTTAGAAGAATTTTTCACTGGTAGTTTATGTTAACTAATGTTAATTAATAGAGCCTTAATGTAGCCTAAAGTGTGACCAAACAATAAAGAATCAAAACATTTTCAAACAATATCTAGGGCATGTTGTAATCCAGATTAAAATGTAATAAAAGTTTGAAAATAAATAGCCTATTAAGTCTAAATATTATTATTATTATTAAGTATTTGGTGCTGTCACCACTGCGAATTCAAAAATCTGAATGGCTGTTTAAACCATAGATATAACTCCTCGTAGAAAAGGTGTGGATTGAGATCACGAAAAACTGTCAAACCACTTGATAACTGGAGAAAGAAATCAAGCATCGCAAATATCTTCAGATTCTGTCTGATCCATATGCCAAAACATAATCAGACCACTATGATGATGATAAATGGATTTAGAATATAAAGTCAGTCCAAAAATGAAATCAAGCGAGTTTTTAACCTCCTTCACCAGCACTACTACGTGTCTAATGTTCAGTGTTGAGAAAGTCAGAAAGGGACACAGAGATGGATGGATGGAGAGGTTAAAAGGATTGATATAGAGAGTCCATTGTTCTACACCTGGTTTTATGACACCAACCAGTTTACAATTAGGAGACAAACCAGTTCAATATTCCACCACACCAACTAGTAGTAACTCAAGCCAGCTGCAGAACTGATGTCCTGCTGGAATCTAGTGTTAATTCACTAATTCAGAGATGCGACTCCCCCTGCTGGTGGAGAGCCACATGCAGACACAAACACGTTAGGGATGGACACTGTCAAGGCAGTAAAAGCCAATTGGTTGCCCAAGTCACCATTCACTGACATTAAAGGCAGATTAAGCGATTTCTGGTAGCCAATGTTGATATTTGAAATCACCAAAACAAATACGCCCCTACCCCAAAAGGGTCTTGCACAAGCGTGAGTAGGACATTATTTTTGATTTCTCTTTTTGTTTTCTAAAAAAAAAGGTAATGCACTTTAGAACAACATTAGGGTGAGTAAATAAATACCGAAACTTAATCTTTGTCTGAACTATTCTACAGACAGTCACAGAAAATAAGCTGTGAAGGGGGTAAATAAACTCAAATAATTGTTTACAAATAATTAATTTACAGGTTTTATGGTTTTGAGGTGCCTCTAATTTATTCTTATATCAGCAGCTGTCTATGTCAAAAGCAATGCTATTTATTTATTGCTGTTGGTTAATGATTAACTAGTTTTTTCGTTCTCTCTTCTGTCATTCTTCACTTAATTGACTTGATATAGTCATGTGATATTGTTAGGTTGGATAACATCATCTGAACTTGCCATACTTTGATTTTTAGTAAATTGATGCCACTGCTGTCAAGCTAAAAAGTACCAGATTTTTTTAGTGAGTAACGTCTTAAATTTTGGTCACACAAAGTTTACACAAAATAGAACACTTTTACGGTACGTTTTTTTTGTTTTTGCTTGTTTTATTGAGCTTGACAGAAGCTGGCCACAGTCTGCTTCTGGAAAACAGCAGCGTGAACACTGTGCTAAAGTTCTCCTTTTGTGTTTCACAGCCAAAACAAAGAGAGATCTGGAGTGACATGAGTGAGTAAAAATTATCCTATTAATTCACCCAGATCTGCAATCAGGTGTGTTTGATTAACCGTACCTGTGGCTCCAAGCGGATGTCCTTTAGAGATGAGTCCTCCACTGGGGTTTATCACCCATTTGCCACCATATGTATTATCACCCCGATCAATCAGCTCACCAGCTTTACCTACCAATGAAAAACAGATCATATTTTAAAACCTAAACTTACATTTTTAAAAAGTTGTGCTAGAAAAGTGTGCTTGTGAAGCAGTCCATCTCACCCTCAGCACACAGTCCCAGAGCTTCATAGGTGATGAGCTCATTGGCAGAGAAGCAGTCATGCAGCTCGATGACGTCAACATCTGATGGCTTCAGACCAGCAGCGTCAAAGCACCTCTGAGCTGCAAGATGGGTCATGTCATAACCAACCTATGATGGACAGAGTAAAAAAAAACATTATATTAGACATAAGACAATGGAAAATGTCCTATATAGAATCAAGCCACAGTTCACCCAAAAATGAAAAGTCTGCTATCATTTACTGACCTTCATGTCATTCCAAACCTGCATGACTTTCTTTCTTCTGTGGAACACAAATAATGATTTTTTGACACAAGTTTCAGTTCCCATTGACTTCCAATTGTATTTTTTGCCCATATTATGGAAGTCCAAGGGAACCAAATCTGTTTAGATATGAATATTCCTCGAAATATATTTTTTCCACAGAAGAAAGAAAGGACATGAGGGTGAATAAATGGTACTTAAAAGTCAGCTTAAAAAAAAAAATAAATAAAATTAAATTAAAAGTCATAGTTTTTTTAGGCTTTGTGCTGCTCAACAAGATCAGCTACTCTTACCATTTTCATACAGCTGTTTTCCTCAAAGGTACTGGTGAGGTCTGTGACCATTTCCTGTGCAATGATCTCCACAGCCTTTTTCTCCAGTCCGTTCCTCCTCACAAACTTCTCACTGGCCAGAACCGCAGCTCCTGCCCCATCAGATGTCGGGCTGCAGGAAAATAAGAGACGATATAAAAATCTGATTCTGTTGGACAGGATGATGGACCCATTACAGTTCACAGTTTAACAAGCTATCTAATAAGACCATAGCGTTTTTTAAAATAATAACATTTATGAGCTAGAATAATGACCGTCATGCAAAAAAGCTTGTAAAACGCCCAGAAGATTCTTTGACATGAGTATTTAATTGTGTTCAGTACATATTAAACTCAGTAAACAGCATTTGTGGAATAACATTGATTACCACAAAAAAACTAATAAATAAATAAAACAAGTAGTTTTTTTTGTTGAGGACCAAGAGTGACACTTCAATAAAATAGATAAGGGATAACTTAAAAATAATTAATTATTTAACTAATTAATTTACATATTTAAAATGGTTTATTTAAATTCATGTTTTAAAAATGTAGTTACATAAAATAGCGTAATAATAAATTTAATTAATTGTCAATTGAAAAATAGACATTTAAAACTGTTTATTTAATTGAAGCTTTAAAATGTAGTTAAATGAAACAATAATATAGTAAATGAATAAATCATAAATTGCACATTTAAATAGTATTAAAAAAAGGAATTTGCCTGTTATTTTTCTGTGTCTACATGCCAAATGCAAAGCCAATAAACTTTCGACTCAATTTTAAGAGACGTCTCTCATGTGCCACTTAATATGTGACCCCGGACCACAAAACCAGTCTTAACTGTCGCTTTATACACTATCTGAAAGCTGAATATTTAGCCGAGATACAACTATTTGAAAATCTGGAATCTGAGGGTGCAAAAAAATCTAAATATTGAGAAAATCGCCTTTAAAGTTGTCCAAATGAAGTTCTTAGCAATGCATATTACTAATCAAAAATTAAGTTTTTATATATTTACGGTAGGAAATTTACAAAATATCTTCATGAAACATGATCTTTACTTAATATCCTAATGATTTTTGGCATAAAAGACAAATCGATAATTTTGACCCATACAATGTATTTTTGGCTATTGCTACAAATATACCCCAGCGACTTAAGACTGCTTTTGTGGTACAGGGTCACATATATGACAGTACAGACTCTAAAAAAGACCAGTTAGGAATGGTAGGAAATGGTAAGAAAACCAAACCTTCACCAAATCTGGAACTTTTTACCTTGCACATCAATAAACACACATATTGTTTATGTCTTGTGGCTATGGACTTATGTGAGGATCCTGTTCGTGGACTTCAGCCCGGCCTTTAACACTATCATCCCAAACCTCCTCCTCCCCAAACTATCTCAGCTCTCCATGCCCACCTCCGTCTGTCAGTGGATCAACAGCTTCCTGACAGACAGGCAGCAGCTAGTGATATATATTTTTATTCCTTATTTACTTGTTCTATTTTTTATTATCTGTGTTTTTTGTTCTGTCACTGTCATTCTGTTACACTGTGGAAGCTTCTGTCACGAAAACAAATTCCTCGTATGTGTAAACATACCTGGCAATAAAGCTCATTCTGATTCTGATTCTATACTATTAAAACAATGAGTGTTTGAACAGTTATGGATTGGCTTATTCACACTGCCATTGTAAGTGCTTCACCAACTTTTACTTTTTTTTTTAAAGAAAAGGCGGAACAATAAATTTTTTGTGGTAAACAGCAATATGCTACAAGTGCTGTCGTCGCCTGAGATCAACTTGTGCTGAACTATGAATATTAAATACTAATGCCTGCCATGCTTTTGTGGATATTCAAACCATGGCAACAACCTTATTCAACCGGACTCTCTGCTCACTCTCTGGTGCACTTACCAACACTGTAAGAGTGTGAGGAACTCAAAGACCTTCCTGGAGTTAATGACCTGCTCCAGACTATATTCATCCCGGAACTGAGAGTATCTGAGTGAGAATGTGGAGAAAAAGAAAGAGAATAAAAGACTGAATATGGTAAACTAAACGTTGAAATTTCCTTTGTAGCAAACTCGGTAAAGCTTACGGATTATTGGTGGAATGCTTGTGGTTCTTCCAAGCAATTTTGGCAAAATGCTCTGGTTTCGTGCCTAGAGAAGACACAAAGCTTTTATTGCAGAAGGAACCAGATTGCAGGAGTCTGAGTAGTTGCCTGGATCAATCTACACACTGAAGGCTTTACTGAGATCTTACCGTACTTCTCCATGTGTTCTCTTCCAGCGTTGCCGAACATCTGAGGTGCAGCTGGTGCCGCCGCCACCCCGTAACGGTTGATCATCACCTCCATGTGCTTGTCCATAGGGTTGGTTCTGTCCATGTACTGCAAACCCAGGAGATGACATGAGACACAGGCTGATTTGCTTCATCGCTGGTATTATAACAGAGCTGTGAGCTGCACTCACACCTTTGAGGATAGTGAACCTCTTTCCATCTTCTCAAAGCCCAAGGCAAGAACACAATCAGCCAAGCCTGAGTGCGAGAGGTTTTGTATTACATAAACTGGTCAGAAGTTTGAAATAACTGTTTAAAATGTTTTTGAAAGAAGTCTCTTATGCTCACCAAGACTGCATTCATTTAATCAAAAATACAGTAAAAACAGTGAAATATTATTACATTTAAAACAACTGTTTTCTATTTGAATATATTTTAAAATGTAATGTATTCCTGCGATGCCTGTGAAATTAGATTTTTTTTTTTTTTTTAGCAGTGCTTAATTTTCATTCGGTGCTCAAGATAGAAAATATAAAAAAAAAAATAAAAAAACATTTGGTGACTTTTTTTTTTTTACCTCTGAATTGTGATATACTACCATTCAAATGTCTGAGGAAAGTAAGATTTAAAAAAGGAAAAGAAAGTAATACTTTTATTTAATATGGGCTAAAAACTGACAGTTGAGCTTTGCCATCACATTAAATAAATGCATATATTTTAAAATATATATTCAATCAGGAAACAGTCCTTTTAAATTGTAATAATATTTCATAACAGCACTGTTTTTGCTGTATTTGATCATATAAATGCAGCTTTGGTAATCATTAGATACTTCTTTAAAAAAAAAAAAAAAAAAAAAAAATCATACCAACCCCAGACTTCTGAAAGGTAGTGTGTGTGTAATTTTTTTACTTTATTAATATTATTTTTATTTATATTATTACTATTCAATAAAAGAGTGTGTTCAATACCATAGTTTAAATAAATAAATAACAATTTATTTTAAAAATAAATAAATAAATAAATAAAATCACTGAACTCCTTCTATAGTACAGACTTTAGTCTTCAGCAGACTTTAGTAGCTTTCGCACCTCCCTGAATGAGCTGCCGGGCCATAAACAGCGCTGTGGAGCCGGTAGAGCAGTTATTGTTGACGTTGATTATTGGGATCCCTGACAAACCCAGACTGTGATAAATAGCCCTCTGGCCACATGTCGAGTCACCTGGAGAAATACAGAAAAACCACATAAATTCAACACACACATAGGTCAACGTGTAACGGTTAACATGTCTTGTACTATATCCGATATTGACAAAAAGTATGACACACCATACACATAGCCTACACAGGCTTGCTGGACGTCACTGTAATTGATCCCAGCATCCGCCAGTGCTTTCTGCCCTGTGCCACAACAGAAGGGAATCAAAAATATTCATATTTCTGCAGTACAATGTGCTGAAGATGTGAACAAGGTTCATCAACTGCACCTGCTTCTTTGGCCATGTCTGGGTAATCGATGTCTCTTGCACCCGGCTTTTCAAACTGAAAAACAGGACAAAGAATCACTGACTAAAATAAGGCTCTTTAGAACTTATGGATTTTAAAATGTTGCCTGAAATTTTGGCCATTAGGTTTATATTTATCAGGACATTTATAAAAATATATAATGTATAAAATAAAATTGAACATCATATAATATGAAAAACCTTTAAGAAGTACCACTGAAGTACATTTATGCAGTAACATTGAACTCATACTTAAAGGCAGGGTATGTGATTTTTCAAAAACACTTTAGAAAACTGATTCGGGCCGAATAGCAAAACAAACTTGTAGCCAATCAGCAATAAGGGGCGTGTCTACTCGTGATGTGGAGGAGAGCTGCATGGGACGGACATTAGCCGAGCCGAGCGACAGAAAGATAGAGATGGCGGATAAAAAACAAAAGAGGAAAACGTCTGCGGAACGATAAGGCAAAGAAGTAGGACCCGTGTAAATATTGGATCAGCTTTCCAGCGCTGGAGAGAACTCAAGGAGCGGAGGCCTGCGATCGGACGCCGAGGTTGCTTTGTTTCTTCTCAATAGGTGAGTAACACCGTGTCTACAACAACTAAAGTCTGCCTACACTGGACGCGAGAAAGAGGTCAAACGACCGTTGAAAACCATTTGAAATGTGTGTCAGCACGTCATAAATAGAACCCGGCAGCAGTTTTCTGTCGGGGATTTGTTGCGCCGCGCCGCTCACGTCCGTAGACAAGGTGTAACATTGGTTTTGCTTTGTTTCACAGAACTAATCGTTGCCTGGGTTGCGTACGTATATGTGGGGCGGAGCTATCAAAATAGGGGCAAGACCCTTTTGGGGTAGAGGCGTGTTTGTTTTGGTGATTTCAAATATAAACATTGGCTACCAGAAATCACTTACACTGCCTTTAAGAGGTGGTGTCACGAGCAACAGACTTGCTGTTGAAAAGTGACAAAGATTAGCAGAGCTAAAAGATGCAGCAACTATCAATGGAAGCACAGCGATTTGTCGTTTTTAGTTGGATACAGAGGCAGAATAGGTATGGCCTATTAAACACCAACAGCTCAGAAACGAAACTTCAGTGATTTAATATCTGTCAGTGTGAACACAGAGGCTTGCACTTAGCAAAAGAAAGCAATACCAAAATAGCAGATGACTTAGGCAGAAGGCCTAGTTCATAAAGACTATGTTGCAGTCTTCACTAATGTTTCTGCTGTGAAATGCCATTTAACGCACAATTAATGTATATTAATATGCACAAAATGTCCAAAACCTTGACGACCTTATAATGAGCCAATGTATTTCTTTGTCTAAAAAACAATGATGCACAAGCATGGCCTTATCCCAAATAGTTTATTACATTGTCCATTTGGATATATTTTCTAATACAGAACACATAATAGCACTTTGAACAAACAAAAAAAGAAACATCCCTTTGGTCCAGTCATTCTATGGTACTCAAGCCTGCATAACAGGCTCCTAAAATAATCTGAATTACTGCAAAAAGAAGAAAACTATGAGGTCACATTGTACAACCTGGACTGTGTATTTTTTCCATCAACCTTACTCTTTCACTGCAACATAAAACAAGTGCCAAACGTTAGAAAGACGGTACATTTTCAGTAACCATGGTGTTTGTCAGTCATTCTGGTAATTTGTAGGTAAAATAGATAAATAAGAATATTCTGGATTACAGAAAATTTAGATTAATTCAATGTGCTGTTTTAGAGATTAGCGATTTAGATTAATCCAATGTGATATGTTTTAGAGATTTGAGGTTTGGACTCCTCAGTAAGGTATTTTGCAGCACTCAATAGTGGAACATTATACTTGATACTCTGTTGTGCCAAATAAATGTTTTATTGCTTTGAATTATTAACTGAAATAACTTCTGAACTAGCATTTTTAAGTTTTCACCTCAGCCATTCATACTGCAAGTTTAGACTGCTGAGAGAATCTTTGTGTGGAGTGACAGTTTAGATAGTAGATATCATCAATAGACTTGAAGAAACCAAAACCATAAGACGACAAATCAGAGCTGTAAGAAGTAAGAAAGTCCTCTAATTCAATGCAGGATGGTCAAAGCTGCTTCACAAGGTGATGTATTGTTGGCGTGGAGGTGAAATACGACTGCTCAGTTTTGTAAAATGTCAATTTTTAATATATACATACACGTTTTGTACAGAGTATTTTTTATTATCGACAAATAAATCTCTTTTAAAAATGGAAACATGTTTTGCTTTGCATCTTGTTACAGATAACAGCAGCATTATGAACTATTATTTCTTTGCCCGCCTAGGGTTGTACCTGAAAGAAAAAGAGAGAGAAAGAAAAAAAACAGATTCAACACAAAAGCAAGTACACATAGGTCAACGTGTAACGGTTAACATGTCTTGTACTATATCCGATATTGACAAAAAGTATGACACACCATACACATAGCCTACACAGGCTTGCTGGACGTCACTGTAATTGATCCCAGCATCCGCCAGTGCTTTCTGCCCTGTGCCACAACAGAAGGGAATCAAAAATATTCATATTTCTGCAGTACAATGTGCTGAAGATGTGAACAAGGTTCATCAACTGCACCTGCTTCTTTGGCCATGTCTGGGTAATCGATGTCTCTTGCACCCGGCTTTTCAAACTGAAAAACAGGACAAAGAATCACTGACTAAAATAAGGCTCTTTAGAACTTATGGATTTTAAAATGTTGCCTGAAATTTTGGCCATTAGGTTTATATTTATCAGGACATTTATAAAAATATATAATGTATAAAATAAAATTGAACATCATATAATATGAAAAACCTTTAAGAAGTACCACTGAAGTACATTTATGCAGTAACATTGAACTCATACTTAAAGGCAGGGTATGTGATTTTTCAAAAACACTTTAGAAAACGACGTTTCATATGGCGCAATTGTACTTCCGTGCCACTAGGGGCCGCGTCATTGTTCCATTATATTTATACTTTCAATGTTACTTTGAAAACTATGAGCACAATGTAACGAGCTTTCTGATTGTGTAACCCGCGTTCATTGTCATCTTGCACAGTAACCTATGACACATTTAATTCAGGGTCATTTACCGATTATCCTGATATCTTTGCGTTTCTGTGAAGGTCTGAAGGACTTTAGCACTGTGCAATGCTACAGTTACTCAACACAGACCAAAGACTCAGGCACAGTGAATCTCTGATAAGAAACTTCACAGCATTTCATAACTCTTTTTTAATGGCGATAAAACACTTTATTCCGAGCACTGAACCACACCATGCAGTCTGCCTTTAGCAATAAGGCTAATTACCGTACAGCGCATAACTAAACAACGTGCTACATGCAATATTTTAATAAAACATATTATATTCAAAGCCACCGAGTGTCTTTATAGTTAGTTTTTATATATAAAACTCCAACTCCTACAGGCTTTGCCTTTAACTTCACCACAGCACAATATGTTCTGTAACAAGCAATAAGCTAGGCTGCATTACAGTAGCCTTTTAGCAAACCAGACCATTACAAAGCGGAAATATCAAGGCAATCGATGCGTTTACCTTTGTCATTCCCACCCCGATAACAAAAACCCTGTTTCTTGCTGCAGCCATCTTCAGGTTAGCGTTGTGACAGCTCAACTGGACTTGACTACTGAGTGAAACTAAACAACAGCAGCTGATTATAAACACAGCAAACACTGTCACACAGATGGCGCTCTTTCCTCAGCCAGGGTCACTCACATCGCTATTTAGGTCAGAAAGTTTTCGGGAAATCTATATTTATGATCATTTGTCAAGCTTTTTACCATTTATTCCTTAAAAGATAATAGTTCATAGTAATATCTGTTTTATGTTGCTTGCTTAGGAACATTAAACACGGTTTTACTATAGTAAAAGTGTAGTAACCATGTTTTTTTGGCGTATTAATATTTGTATAACCAGTTTTACATCAAGTACCATGGTTAAACTGTGGCAAGTATTGCAAAACCATCGTTAATTTGTAGTTACCATGGTTTAACTATAGTATAATTTTTGGTATTATTTGAGTAAAACCTTTTTTTAAGGGCTACCTATTTTTATTTATTATTATTCCAATTTTGTCAGTATTCATAGTAGTTACTTTAGCAGTGATAAGTAACAATTTGCACATTTTGCCTTTGATGTTTAGAAGGATCTGTGGTTCAGATATAGACTATTCACGTCCAACTAGTGTTTCATATATAGACTATTCACCTCAAAATAGGAAGCCAAGTAGTAAACCTCCAAATGGTAAATATGCTCTCATAGTGACTAGTACTTACTAGTACCTTTTTATTAGACAATAGTATCTATTCCAACTGCTACTAGTAAGACTTTGCACTTTAGTAGTACAGTTAATAGTGAATGTGTTCCCTAATCTAAAAAATTAGATTGTCCTACGACACTATATTTAGATAGTAGCCTTGTTTTTGCACAGTATTTCAGTACTTAAAATTTGAGCAATGAAATCTCAATTCTGAAGTACGCTATCTGATGTTTGTATAAATGTAGTACACCTACTAAATTTATAATGAATGTTTTAAAATATCCCATTGATGTTCACTGATTGAATGTTCAGCATTGGCATATGTCATAATGGCATGCAAAAATATTCCTTTCTTTTCTGCATCATTTGATTAAAAACGTAATAAAAGTATTTAGCTGGGTTGCAAGCCCACATAAACACACACAAAATTATCCAATAACTCCACACTTTATTATTGTAGTATCGTATATAATAAGCCTTTTACCAATTAGCAACAGTCAATCAGCACTGAATAACAAGTGTGTGGTGTAGTCATTTTATAACTTCATTCTTTATTCAGTAACCAGTCAGTCGTTCTTCAATCAGACCTCTTTATTTTTCAGCACTTGATGAATTGATGTGTGACCTCATACATCCCCACAGACTCACTGGCCTTCTCATCGTAGTCCGTCCAGTCCTGATACATAGAAGAAAGACTGTTACGACCTCACGGATGAACTCGAAGGTGTGAAATGACTCGGAGAATTCTTACTTTCTCTTGCAGGTTGATTTCAGGGAACTGGGTGGATGTCTCTGCTCCACTAGCGGCAAAACCAGCCTGTAGAGAAACAAGGTGAATGTTTATGGGTTTTATTCAGACTAGAGGAAAGCTTCTGAAGATAATTCTACATAATTGTATACACTACTATTCAAAAGTTTAGGGTAAGTAAGATTTTTTTTTTAAAGGGGTCATATGATGCGATTTCATTTTTTCCTTTCTCTTTAGAGTGTTACAAGCTCTTGGTGCATAAAGAAGATCTGTAAAGTTGCAAAGACTAAAGTCTCAAATCCAAAGAGATATTCTTTATAAAAGTTAAGAGTTAGCCACACCTACCTAAAACGGCTCGATATGACCCCTTTAATGCTTCTGAGGTCTACTAGGCTGCAATTATTTGATCAAAACAACATTAAAATATTGAAATATTTTGAAATACTATTACAAATTAAAGGTACAATATGTACGTTTTCACCGCTAGAGGGCGCATATTCAAAATAAACAAATAGACAAAGGCGTAGTTTGATGACGCTGTGACTGAGTGTGGAATCATGGGAGTTGTGGTCTTCATCCCCACAGCCGACGCAATCCGACGGGACTCGGGCAGAAATCATGTTTATGGATGAGCTAATGATTTATTAACGTAGTAGAATGAAGCAGGGTGAGGCTGAAAGCCGTCGAAGCGAAACGAGGCCGCTGAACGAGCTCGACAATGAGCAAAATAATGCAGCACATAATGTCAACGCAGGGAAATAACTGTCTATACAAAACGTGCATTACGTCTAAATTAACTCATATAAATCAAATATAATTTCGTAAATTGCATAAACAATTATGAACAAAACAGCATCATGTATTTATGCATTGCTTAATACAAAGAGCCGAA